CTGACCTGGCTTCCCCCTGAGCCAGTTCCATCTCCCAGTGTAACTGGGGTCCCCTGAGCCAGTTCCATCTCCCAGTATAACTGGGGTCCCCCAATCCAGTTCCATCTCCCAGTGTAACTGGGGTCCCCTGAGCCAGTTCCATCTCCCAGTATAACTGGGGTCCCCCAATCCAGTTCCATCTCCCAGTGTAACTGGGGTCCCCTGATCCAGTTCCATCTCCCAGTGTAACTGGGGTCCCCTGAGCCAGTTCCATCTCCCAGTGTAACTGGGGTCCCCCAATCCAGTTCCATCTCCCAGTGTAACTGGGGTCCCCTGATCCAGTTCCATCTCCCAGTGTAACTGGGGTCCCCCGATCCAGTTCCATCTCCCAGTATAACTGGGGTCCCCCGATCCAGTTCCATCTCTAATCCCTGGGATTCAGTTCCCTCTCCCCACCCAGCTGGGAGTCCCCCTGACCCAGCTCTACTTCCCAGCACACTGGATCCCCCGGTTCAGCTCCCTCTCCCAGCACAGTTCCGCCTCCATTCTCTCTGTGAGCACTGACGTGGCAGTGCATCCCTGTCCCGAAATCCTCCTCCTGTCCTGACTATTCCCAGGGCCAGAGAGAACGGGCACTCCCCCCCGAGCCCCCAGAGCCCCGAAGGTGTGGCTGTGTCCCCAGCCCGCCCTGCGAGCCCCGGGAGGGGTGAGCGGAGCCAGGACCGACCTGCAGCGTCAGGGGGGCCTCCCGGTTGTACCGACCGTCGTCCTGGAACGGGGAGGTCCTGGGGCCCCCCGACTGCCGCAGGCGGAAGCTGAACTGGGTGTCCCCAAGGCCACCTGGGACAGAGAACAGCACAGGGCTCAGGAGAGCTGGGGATGGCTCCCGTGGGGCAGGGAGGGGGGGCTGCAAGGAGCTCCAGCGCTGAAACGGAGAGGAACAGCATAAAGAAACCCCCGAGAGACAGCACGAGACAGGAGGGGAGGGAAGGAAACGGCAGGAAAATGGTCTTCCCTGGCAGGGTGGGCAGGCCCTGGCACAGGTTGCCCAGAGAAGCTCTGGCTGCCCCTGGATCCCTGGAAGTGTCCAAGGCCAGGTTGGCCAGGGCTTGGAGCAACCTGGGCTAGTGGAAGGTGTCCCTGGGTAGCACTGGACAATATTTGAGGCCCCTTCCCACCCAACCCATTCCATAAGCCCATGGAAGCTGTAGGAAACCAACAGTCAGGAGCCACCCTTAAATAACCAGGCTTGGATTGAGACTTAATTCTTATTGTCCCCTTTCTGGTTTATAAACACAGGCTTTGGGAACACTTTTGCTGTGGAATTGTCCTCTCCCAGCTCCTGCTCCTCACTGGGCACTCACAAACACAGGAATGTGAGAGCCAAGAGCTGCCAGCTCAGGGAACCCTTCCTGGTTCTGGGGGACGTTTCACTGGCACAGGGGAAGCAGGAGTGCACGAGTTTATAGAGGAACCAGCCAGCAGATCACAGATTCTGTATGCAGACATCAACCCACAGGACAAGAAGCCTCTTTGCTCAGCCCTGAGGGCACCAGAACCCCAGTTCTAGAGGATGCAGCCCATCAGCCTGTGCTGCATCCCAGGGGATAACTCAGCCCTTCCATCCTGGACCCTCTTCCTTCACCCCTGGTGCCACCTACCTGAGTAGGAGTCTGGGAAGGACAAGTAGCAGATACTCGTTTTCTGCAAAAAAACCCAAGACACCCAGTAAGAATCCCCCCATCAGAGCTGCTGAGTGGCTTAAAAATGGGAGAGAAAAAAGGGAATAAATAGTTGTTACCTCTTTCTCTGTCAGCCTGAAGTCATGAGGATACACCAGCTGCCAAAGAGACGGGGGACAGTCAGTCAGTGTGTTCCCTGACTTCTACACACTAAAAATGCCTTGTTTTCCCCAAAGTAACAGATCCTACAAGGAGGTACCTTGGCCCACACAGCCTTTCCTGGTGGGAAAATGCAGGAATTGCAGGAGGCTTTAAATGGGCAGCGGAGGAAGGAACTGGCCAGGCTGAGACGGGACACGGAGATCTGTCCCCAGCCACGGGAACTCTGCTCCAGAGGCAGCTGCTTCTCAAATCAGGAGCTCCAAGCAGTGCTTGACTCTCCTTTCCGGGCTATAAATAGCAGGGGTGGCACCGTGCCAGGGTGCTGGAAGTTCAGGGAGCCCTGACAGTTCCCCACGGGTTCCTTGGCAAGGGCGTCTCAGCCAGAGCCAAACTCCCAGTGAACGGTGCCAGTGCCCAGCCCTCGGTGGGAGCGGCTCTGGGAGCAGGGAGCTGCTGCAACACGGGGGGAAAACATCCCAGGGCAGCTCCAGGGGGAGGAACACGGGCAGGGAAGGGTCGGGATGCTGCAGAGGGAAGGGATCGGGGAGGTCACAGGACACACTTCCCTCTGCTCCATCTCTGCCTCAGGACAGGAGCACATTCCTGGGGCTGGGACTGATTTAATCTCCAGGCAAACATGGACTTGGTTAATTCCCATGGAATAATGACCAGACCAGGAACAGGGAGAGCTGGGCAGCTGATCCTGATTGCCCAGGAGCCCAGGAATCCCATGGCACACAGCTTTCCACATTTGCTGAAGGTCTAACTCAGGTCAAGAGTTGAGACGAGGCTCCTACTTCTCCTGCTGCATTTTGGGGGGTCTTTCTGCATGTAAATGGTTTGAAAATCAGGCCTTGGCTTCCAGGGGTGGACTTGATGATCTTGGAGGTCTTTTCCAACCTTAATTATTCTCTGATTTTGCATCTTTAACTCCCCCTCCCTTTAAGTCTGACATTCCTCTATGTTTGGGGTGGGGGAAAATCACTAAATATCCACAAGATTAAAACCTCCAAATCCAAACCAGAGAGAATCCGTGTGGCTACAGCTTCTCAAAAGCAAAAAAAATGGTAAGTAAAAAGGAATGTTTGATGTGTGAAAGTCCAAAAGGGCTTAAGCCATGTCATAATGTGTGATAAGTGCTCTCCCCATCCATGGGAATGAAGGAGCAAGGAGGAGACACGTGTAGTTGGAAATGGATCCCGGCATCCCAAACTCTGGATCCTGGGAGGTGCCAAGAGCTGCTGCCATGGCAACGGGGCCGACATCCCAGGAAATGGCTCTGGAGGAGCCCAGCCTGACGGAGTGCCTGTGTTTGGGAAGGCTGGGCAGGGAGCAGCCTGTGCCAGTGACACCAGGGATGGTGTGGAACCACGGGGAGGGATTTCCAGCCTTTCTGTGGCTGTGGGGAGGAGAAAAGTCACAGCCTCGGGGGGTTGGAGGGCAAAGGGCTGGTGGGGAGGGCAGGGAGAGCATCCCAGACCTAGCTCCTCCCTCCCTGGCACTTTTCCCTTCTGTCATCGACTATTTGAAGAAATGTAAATGGGTGGAGGGGTCAGAGACAGACATGACACCTAATTTCTGCAACGACCTGTGCTTTCCTTTCTAGCAGCTTTCCTGCTGTCTCTGCAAACAGTACAGGGGGAACCCCTGGATTACAGAACATTTTGAATCTTTTTCAGAATCTTTTGAATCTCTGAAGCTTTCAGAGCTGAATTCCAGGCCAACGACAGAAGTACACCGAGAGACAGGGGCACGGAACATAAAACACACGGAATTCAGGATCCTGAGCAGGCACCAAGCAAGGGCTTGGCTGTGAGTCTGTACCCACAGACCCCCGAGTTTGTACCCTCAGACCTCCGAGTCTGTACCCACAAATCTGAGTTTGTACCCACAGAACCTGAGTTTGTACCCAGAGAACGCTGAGTCTGTACCCAGAGACCCCTGAGTTTGTACCCACAGAACCTTTGTACCCACAGAACCTGAGTCTGTACCCACAGAACACTGAGTCTGTACCCACAGAACTTGAGTTTGTACCCACAGAACACTGAGTCTGTACCCAGAGCCTCCCTTGGGTTTATACCCACAGGATCCCCCGAGTCTGTACCCACAGACAACCCCCCCGAACTTGTATCCTGACCCCCCATCCCTGATCCCCCCCATCCCTGATCCCCCTCTCTCCATCCCTGCCACCCAGACTCCTATCCCTGATGTCCCCACACCTATCCCTGATGTCCCCACACCTATCCCTGATGTCCCCGTACCCCCATCCCCGACCCCCCCTCTCCCCATCCCCGACCCCTTTCTCACGCCCCCATCGCTGCCCCTCCGCGCCCCGGTGCCCGCGCACCTCCATGGCCTGCCCGAGCTCCAGGTCGAAGGTGACCACACACACGCAGTCGATCCAGGCGGCGAAGCGGCCCCAGGGCAGCGGGGACGGGCCCGGCCCGGGGGCGGCGGCGGCGCGGCGGGCCCGGGGCCCTGCCCGGCTCAGCGCGTCCATGGCGGCGCCGGCCCGCGCGCCGCCCGCCGCGCTCCGCCGCGCCCCCTGCCGGCCCGGAGGTCCCGCGCCCGCCCCGCCCCGTCGCGCTCCGCCGCGCCCCCTGCCGGCCCGGAGGTCCCGAGAACACCTCCCGCACCATCGAGACGGGTCGCGGCGCGCAGAGCGGCGCGGGGCGGGTGTCATGGCGGCCGGGGGCGGCGGTGTGAGGGGAGCGGCGGCTCCGCGGGGCTTGGGGGCGGCCGCGGGGGTCTGAGGGGGGTCTGCGGGCCGCTGAACCCACCGCGGCGTCACCGCTTATCCCCTGGTCCCCCGGCTGTGCGTGGCTTCCGCCGCCGTGTCCCCGGTGCGGGCCTCCGCGATCTCCCTGTTCGCAGCCCCCAGGCCCGGTGCCCACCCGGCCGGGAGCGGGGCCGGTTTTAGGAGCTCTCTAAACGCAGACACATTTAAAAAGCAGACGCTGTTTATTCTGCGCGGGGGAGCTTTCACAAACCAAGCACAGTAAGGGCTAAAAAGTTCATCTTTCAGAACAGCCAAATTTACATGACCCCGCCTGTCTCATGTATATTCCCCGCCTGCCTAATGCACATTCATTTCTGGACGGAATTTTACGCGATGTTTGAAACTCGGATTTCTTTTATTAAGCAGCTTCTGCCGTAGAAGTTACCTGACGACAGAGTTACGTTTTCGAAAGGTGAGAAAGTGGCATCGATTCCTTTTGCAGGAGTTACCTGACGGCGTCATCACGTTTAGGAAAGTTGAGCAGATCCAGGTAACTCATCCTGGGGACAGGTAGTTCATCCTGGGGACACCCGGAGCGGTGCCCCCGGGGCGCGTTGGCAGAGCCGGGCACAGGTGGGTGTTTGCCAAAGCAAAGGGCAAAGGCTGGACCGGGATCATCCCACGTGGTGGTTTTTGTGGGATTTCAGGCACGTGAAGGCTGTGGCACGAGTTGCTTCCCGAGGGGACTCGTTCAGTGCTCGGAGTGGGAGGACAGTGGCACCTGGGAAATGGGAAATACCGGGGATAAATGAGTTTTGTGGCAGATTTGAGGCGCTGGTGAAACCCAGGGGCTTTGGGGGTTTTATTTATTGCCAGCCTGCTGCTCAGCCAGTGTCAGCCCTGGAGCAGGGAAGGAGTGGGATCACTGGAAAGAGAAAGTGTAAGAACATTTGCACCCTGGAAGTGTCCAAGGCCAGGCTGGATGGGGCTTGGAGCAACCTGGGACAGTGGAAGGTGTCCCTGCCCATTTTTCTTACATGCGGGACAATTGTCAGAGAAAATAAGTGAAAAAAAAGTGTTGCCAGACCTAGAGCTGATTCTTGCCAGGGAAGGGACAGAATGAAAAGGTCAGAAAAATAACCTGGATAAAAAAATATTGGACAATTTATTGCCCCATAATCCTTTGTCCCATAATAAAAATCACTTTTAGTCTTATTCCAAGGGTCTCACTTAGGTTTCACTGCAGCCACACATACATGAGCAGCTTGGCAAGCAGAATGAAATTTATTGTGAATAAAAGGGGTGATGAAAGTGCTGAGAACAACGTGAGAAGTATAAAAATGGGGGCTGAAGGCTTTAGTTTAATATGGAAACACAGCTTTACTCTGAGCAGGGAACTGTCATAGGCAGAGAGTCAGATCCAAGGTCCCCATTTCTCCCTTCACAGAGAATTTCCTGGAGTTGTGTGGCAGGACAGGCAAGTGTTGGACTCACAGAATCATGGAATGATTTGGGATGAGAGGGACCTTAAAGATCATCTCCTGATGTTCCAGCCCTGCCATGGGCAGGGACACCTTCCATTATTCCAATTTGCTCCAAGCCCTGTCCAACCTGCCCTTGGACACTTCCAGGGATCCAGGGGCAGCCACAGCTTCTCTGCCCAACCTGTGCCAGGGCCTCCCCACCCTCCCAGCCAGCAATTCCTTCCCAATATCCATCTGACCCTGCCCTCTGGCACTGGGAAGCCATTCCCTGTGTCCTGCCTCTCCCTGCCTTGTCCCCAGTCCCTCTCCAGCTCTCCTGGAGCCCCTTTAGGCCCTGGCAGGGGCTCTGAGCTCTCCCTGGAGCCTTCTCTTCTCCAGGGGAACCCCCCAGCTCTCCCAGCCTGGCTCCAAGGGAAGGTTCACATGAGCTGAGGCCCTGCCCTGAGGGATTTTTGGTTTCATGTTCTCTGAACACCAGCGACCTTATAATTCATTTTCTCAGCTCCTCTTGGCACAGCCCGGGGCAGGTTTGAGCCCGGGTGGGTGCCGGGCTCTGACCAGGGCAGAGGGTGCAGAGGAGGTGTCACATCCCACTGCACGGTGGGGTTTGCTCCGAGAAAAGAGCCCGATCCCCTCCGGAGGAGCCACTGAGCTCCCGGTCCCACGGGGCAGCTGATCCCAAACCCCAGCGCGAGCCCTGGCAGCGCCTCGGTGCTGCTGGACCATATTTGGGCACTGCTGGCTGTGCGGATCCAGCCCTGCAGCCCCGATCCCGGTCCCGCTCCCGGCTCGGGGCTCCGGGGCAGCGCTGGGGCCGCTCCACATCTCCCCGGCAACGCCGGGAAACACAACATTGCTCAACCCCGGCCGCAGCCCCCGCGCCTCCGCTATAATTATCTCCTGCATCGCGGCTCTCAGGAGCCACCGGATCCTGCAGGATCCTCTGCGTCCAGCTCCCCTCCGCCTGCCCCTGCTCCCGCGCTGCCGGCCGGGATAGTGTTCCCCCGGCGGGAGGGGGAACATTCCCTGCAGCCCCGAGGAACGCGCGAGGAGCCGCACGCCAAGAAATGCCGCTCCGTGCTGTTTATACTCGGGCGTTCAGAGCTTTGTTATTTGAACAAGGCCTTGTCGCCTGCCCCCAAAGGCAGCCAAATATAAATCTTGGGGTCTGGAAAGCCTAACGCACAAAGAGAGTGTGTTTAGGAAAGAGTCTGTGGCTGCAGGAGAAGGAAGGCAGGCTCTTCCCCTCCTCCCCTCAGGGTTTCTCAGATTAATGTCAAACTGTAGCTGGGAGATCCTGTTTAATGTCTGTTGGAGGCACCAGATCACGCTTCAGTTCTGAGCCGAGAATAGATCCCAGAGTTCTTCATCATCCACAGCCTGTTTCTGGTGGTGCAGCCTCCTACCAAGCGTGTGCCTGATCCCAATTCCGGTGGGAATCCTGCTCAGGCTCACATTCCCTCCTCCACTTCCAGAACTGGGGAGCTCAGGGTCTGCAGCCGAAATGCTCCTTGTGCTGAGGGTCTGCAGATACAGGCAGAGCCATGGAATCATGGAATGCTTTGGGTTGGAAGGGGCCTTAAAGCCCATCCAGTGCCACCCCTGCCATGGGCAGGGACACCTCCTACTGTCCCAGGTTGCTCCAAGCCCCTTCCTGTGCTCGGCTCCTGCGTGTGGGTGCTGGAGAAGAGTCCAGCTGTTGGTTCCCAGTGGGATCCAGTGGCCCTGGGACACAGCCAGGGCTCGGCCCCACAGGCTGGGGTGGCTGTCCCCGCCCCTGTCCCTGCCCCTGTCCCTGCCCCTATCCCTACCCCTGTCCCTGCCCCTATCCCTGCCCCTATCCCTGCCCCTATCCCTGCCCCTGTCCCTACCCCTGTCCCTGCCCCTGTGCTGTCCCTGTGCTGTCCCTGTGCTGGCCAGGAGAGGTGAGCTGAGCTGGCAGCTCCTGCCCCTGCTGCTGCCAAGCACAGAGTTCAGCTGTATTTTAGTGTGTTCCAGAGGGCTGGAGCAGAAAACAAGGAAGCTGTTCCAAGACTGGAACTCTAGAAATCAGCTGGAGGAGACAGGGTGTACAGTCCCATCCCTTCTGCGCTGCCTGGGGACGGGAAAACACTCTGGGCGGGCTGGAAGATTTGGGAGCTGCTCAGATGGGTGTCATCCTGTCCCCAGAAGCCACAATAAGCCACAGAAAATGCTTTATAAGTTCATTTCCCCCCAACAGACAAAATAGAGAAGTGAAACTCCTGAGGCTGGGCTGTTTTTCCCCTTATTAATGGCCCCCAAAGTGCTAATTACCACACTGGGGGCAGGATAAATTCTTGGAGTCTTTCCCTTCCAGCCCTCACGGTGAAAAACCAGCCATGAAAGAGGAATTTTACCCATTTAGTCACGGGGGACATTTTTGGTGGCATTTCTGCGGCAAAACCGCTGCCCCTGGGCGGGGGGGTGTGCAACAAGATGAGCTTCAAGGTCCCTTCCAACCCACACCATTCCATGATTCCATGATTCCATGAGCCCTGTAAACATGGCAGTACAGAAGTGTGGGGTTTTTGCGTGGCAAAGCCCCCGATTTCCCTGTAAATGTCAACCCCGTGCAGGAATATTTGCAGGGTCAAGGCCTCGAAGGGCAGATTAGTGGTAAATCTCGTGGCAGGAATTCCCTGTGGAATTAGGGGTTGGATGGGTTCCTGCCGGGTTCCTGGAGGATGCTGGCACTTGGAAAGCAGTTTGTCCACGAGTGAAGGCAGATCCGGGCACGGTGACAGCGACTCCAGGGAGCCCGGGCTGCCAGCAGGACTCAGAGATGTCCTTCCCCCGGCCCTGGTGGCCCTTTTCCCTCCTCCTCCTCTTTTCCCTCCCTGCTCCATGCTCATCCCGCCTCTCCGAGCGCGGGGGACGCTGTCGCCCCCATTTAACGCCCCAGACCCCGGACAGGGCCGCTCTCCGGGGCCATCCCCACAGGTGGGAAGGTGGGAACGAGGGATCTTCCCCCTCCCGCCCGAGGGCAGTGGCCTCGGGAAGGCTCCCGCTGGCCCCATGTCCCCTCGCCGGCCCCGGGGTCCTCCCGCTCCTCCTGCTCCCCCCGAGGCCGCGATCCACCCCCGAGGTCGCGGGGGCTGTCGCGGGCTGTGACCTGTCCCCTCGCCCCCAACTCCGTCCGCGGGGCTGGGGCCGCCCCACCATCCCCGTTCCCCCGTCCCCATGACCCCGTCCCCCTGTCACTGTCCCCGCCTCCGGGTCCCCATCGCCCCGCCCCGTCCCTCCGTCCCTGGCCCCGTCCCCATCCCGGCCCACCAT